AAGGCTTTTGCGTTAGTTTGATAGAGCAATACTCCCTGAATACAACTTTGCGAATAAAATTGGAAATAATTGATTCTGAAAGAAGTTATTTGAAGAAGTTGTGTCAAAGTGGTGCTCAAGACCGTTTTTGAAATAAGTAGTTTACTCCGCAGTAACCAAGTGAACGCGGCAATTTTCAGCTTCACTCAAACGAGCAGCTTCTTCTGAAGCTAACCGTATTGATACAATTGGAAGTAATTGATTTTAAGGAAAGTTCTTCGGTGAAAATTCTTCGGACCGCTGTTCAACCCTGAATTTTATGGTAAATTTGGCGTTCAGAGAATTCCGCAACAATATCTTCTTTCGAAACCAATTAATTTCGATTTCCTTCGGCAGAGTTAGGAAGAGTAGTATCTTTAATCACACTACAATGTTTGACCAGGATCGGTTCACTACCTGCGGTACTGTGGATACTGCTAGCAAAATCAATAAATCCAATTCTACTTGAGATTTGGATAGTACGTTGCCATTTGCGGCTACCTACCTGTTTCCAGCAAGATCCCTGCAGAAGCCGTCTAAGCGCTGGAAGCAGTGCTGTTGACAGAATTTTCACATAATAAGCCCACAAACCCTAGCCAAAATCGGATTCCAATTTCCTTTGCTAAAAACGGAGTAGCACCCAAGATCTTGCTTCAAAATCCGAGAGGATGGGTTCAGTACCAACGATACTGTGGGTACTGTCAGGTTTTCAGTTCTAATTTCTGAAACAAGTATCAATTCTACTCTTATTTCAGTCTCTTATTTTAGAATTAATGAAAGGAAAATTCTTCAGTCCAATCTTCCTTCTTTTCTCTCATTTCCAAAGGTGTGTATTTTTATCCGACAAAGGTCCAAGTCCCAGCTACGATGTCTCTTCTGCTCCCCTAATCTTCTACGAAGCTCCGCTTGCATTAAGTCAAGCTCCTGCCGAAGTCTGACCCTTATACACAGCTGACGTGTGTTACCCTGTTCACTTTCATTTAAACTTCATGTCGTAGCGAAGGATCCTCAAGTGGTGGGATAAGAATTCAAAGGACTCCTGCAGAGTCCAAACTTTATCGATTGATTTTTTGAACAGAAGCAAGACTTCAACGGGTACACAAAGAGTTTAGAAAGACCAGGTCAAACTTATGTACTGCATAATGGGAACCTCAGGTCCTCCTCAGGGTCCTCCTAGGAGACGGAGACCACTTAGTCAGCATACAATTTTCTAAATTTAAGTGTGCTCGGAAGGTTTTCCAAATAATTCTTGTAATCCTTGGGCCGGTTTTTTCGCGAAAATTTTGAGACAATCTCGAAGTTAGAACTTTGCAGCAGTGTTTTGGAATATCTTCCATCAATTTCTGTATTATTTCTTCTTTGAACCTAGGCATTGCATTCTAGTCTTCTATATTATTATTGTGCCAACCTGGTTTGTTAGGTGGACAGATTTATCGCCTGACATTTCAAATTAATCGTCGTCTTCGGAGACCTAAAAGTGAATTAAAATAAACGTCCCGTTATCCGAAAAATGTTTAAAACGGCAGCAATGGTGTGCAAGCATGAGCGCTGCGAATCGCGAAAAATGGCTTCCCAAATAGCCATCAGCACTGATTACTCTGTATCACAACATCTGAAAGACCATCACATTGTGAACCGTGACCACAATCAGAGCGAAAACAAGCTACCTCTCTGCCTACTTTTCATTTCAGACGGAGTTGGCGCGGCCATTCATGAATGCATTTTCCGAGCTTAACTGCAAAATGACGTTGTCTTGGTGAGCCTACCCAATCACATCATCAAGGAACAGTTGGTTCGGAATCGGCTCTACGATAGGCAATGTGTATCAGAGCGCTACATAGTATGTCCGCGTGGAAAAGAAGGTGGTTGCGCAAAAAAAAAGAGTTATTTATCAAACTGAATACTTCGATTGTAACGCGCTATATGTAGGGGAAACCGGTAGTGCGCTCAATGTACGAGTGAAGGAACATTTAGCGAGTATGAGGCGAAGAAGTCTAATATCACCGCTTGGCCGCCACAGGAACGAAGCGCATTATGAGACTGACTTTAATGTCAAATGCACGATTTTGACAGCGAAGTTGAAATCTTGGCGAGAAAAGCGATCGAGGTAATTACTATAAAGAACCCAGAAATGAACAACGAGAACGAGTATTTGTCGATAACAAGTGATTTTTTGCCGTTCGTATCGTTATGGCAGCTATAGACTATAGGTAACACCAAACGCGGGCAAAGTGTAATTTCCCACTTGTCCGCAACGACAGTCAAGATTGGTGCATTCCGCAATTACGGTGAATTCAGAGTGGGCTCATTTTTTGTCCTGGATTCTTTTCATGGCAGTAGGCTCGAGAGGAACTTAAAGACTAGCAGAGTAGGATGAGACGTTTGGCGGGCTTGGACACAGATAAGAACGATGGACCAGTATTAGGCCTCCAAAGACGACGATTAAGTCGAAACGTCAGGTACTACCGTCTATCATATAATTCAAAACTTGTTCCAAAAACTCTACACTCCAGGTAAGGCATAGATGAATTTGATCAATCAATCGTGATCAATCTTCAGGCGCTTCTCAAAATTCCATCCCTTCAATCAGTAGTTTTCCAGTTCTTTTCAATCTTCGGCAATCTTCGAACTTTTTTTAAAATCAAAGATTGAAGTTTGCTAAACAATTTGTGCACCTTCATATGAATAACGAATTTCTTTTCAAGGCAATCCAAGCAGTTGAGCGTAGCTCTTCAATAACATGTTAATAAAGATGATGGAAGCAGCGTGCAACCAAGGTTTTTCGTCTTCACAAGTTTTGAGTCAATTGATGAAGGCTGTACTTCGGGCGGCGGAGTGTTTGGGCTCAGCCAGAAAAGGGACATGGCCGGTGATGCCCTATGGATATACTTGTGTTACGATGCTTCTGCTGACAGCTACACCGAATCACATAGAAGGATGTGA